CAAAAAAAAAGAAGTATTCCTTTCTTTTCTCCAACTCCTGTATGTAAATCAACAAAGCACAACCTGCGACCCCCCTCCCCTTTCTTTTCCCAAAGCCCCTTTTTCTTCCTTTTCAAACCCATAGGTACCTGGGACAGGCTGTTTAGAGACAGTAGGCAAATTTTAAATTCGATAATTCAAATAGTTTTTATGAGTATATTGCAAAATATGTTAATAATATTGAAGAGTTGATGCATCTGTCATAATATATAAATATCAATGATCTGTTATGTTGTTGTTTTATGCTGTACAGATGGGGCGATTCAGGCGTAAAAACACGCACAATATAATAGTATTCATTTAGCGGGACGAAAGTTCAAGTGTTTCAAACATTTCAACATCACAACATCTCTCGGCTTCTCTTGGAATAAAAATTGAACCATTTTGCTATGCCGCAGCGTAAAGATTAAGAAAACTGCAAACATTCACCTTTTTTCCAGTCAGAAAGTAAAGGTATTGCTTCTTTTTTTTTAGAATTTTCTTCCGGCTGTTCACTTAAATTAGAAAATTAAAAGAAAGCAAAGAATGTTCTTCCGGTTGTTTGCATGAGTTAAGACAAAGCAGAGATACTGATTAATAACCTAACCTATTTAAAGTACAAAAGAATACTGAATGTCGCTGCCAGAGCCAATTCTAGGATGAAAAAGCACTCCACGTCGACCTCTAGGGTGTAATTCTGACTGACAACAGCATCAGATCGCGGTTGTACCTGGAATTGTGACGTGTTTTAGTTTTAGTAAGAGTTTTACGGCACATGCAACACAATAAGGTCATATAAGTGCCGAAGAATAGATTATGTGTTACAAGAGAGTTGCAAACAGAAAAAAAGAAGTAGGAGAGATCAGGACGATAGATATTTGATAAGAAAGAAGGAGCAAACCACACCAGAGCACCCACCAACCACCCACGATCGGTCACGTGGGAGCAAAGGAAAAGTCCAAGCTTTAACGTTCATCAAGTGCCAATTGTTTGTTTTTTCCAATCACTGACTGTTGTACTTACTTACTTACCTACACGATTTGTATTGTTGTTTGTTCCATTTATTTTGTTTGTATTGTTGCTTTTGTTGGGGGTGGGGGGGTCTGTTTTGTTTTATGGGTGGGATTTTGTTTGGTTTTTGAGTGGAGTTTTGTTTGTTTTTGTTTTTTGTTGGGGTTGTGAGTGTGTGTGTGTGGAGGGGGGGGGGAGTACGAAGACTGGGTCTTCGACATTCACGTTGATTTATTCTGTATACTATTCTTAAAACCTTTGAGGGGTTTTGTTTTTCATTCATTTAGTGTAGATACAAAATTGATTAATAACCGTAACATATCTAAAGTACGAAAGGATACTGAATGTTTGTAAATTTTAACGTGCGTGTGAATGTGTATAAATAGAAAGACTGCTGATAAATTCCGTCCATTTAAAGTTTTGCACAAAATATTTTCTATATATATATCAGAATGGAAACAAATTGCTTTTCCTGACTAATTTTTATACATTTTTACAGTGGTTCTTTTTTCTATTTGTTATTTCAAAAAGCTGCAAATAACAGCACCTCTTGTACACAGAAGTAGACGAAGCAGTGGAATCGCTTTTTCTTTACATATTAATAATTATACTTTCTTGTAATTTTTTCGTGCATGTAATATTTCTGTTCAATGCTGATGAAAATTTTTTTAAGCTGTTTATTTAATTTCTTTTATTTATTTTTTTTCGGGGGGGGGGGAGACTTGTTTGCACATTTGTCCGTTAACAGTGAGTGATGGAGTATTGTTTGACGTAGCGATGGTGTTAGGATTTTTTGGATTATTGGTGGTGGCAAAAGGTAACATTATTTTATCTAGTATTTCTGGGGGGGGAGGGGGGTGTTTGTAAATCCTTATTTGACGCCATGTTCTCCAAATGAATGCCTTCAACTTCAACCACGTATACACAGAGTGCCATAGTTGTAGCACAGCGGTTTAACTTTAACCAGGCGTTCGCCTTTATCTGACTATGCCCCTCTACACACACGACAGATGCTGCACAAAGTGCATTAATTAACAGGCTACTTTTTCGTGGAATGACCCTCCATGATCTTCTACAGAGTGAAGTGAAAGTCACGTTCTATTAAAATGAGTATGATCATGAACTTCAACTCTTTAAAACACGGGATCAGTACAATTTGTTTTTTTTTTATTTTGGTAGGCGTTTTACGGCAATTGCAACACAAAAAGGTCATATAAGTGCCGAAGATTAGAGGTCTTATAATGGAGTAACAAACATTAAAAAAGAAGGAGGGGAGATAAATAGATGTTTGATAGGAAAGAAGGAGCAAGTATTAAGTACAGTTTGATACTTTGTCGTGGATATGGAATGACCCCTCCTACCCATCTCTAGTGAAGAACCAAAGCCACTTTCATAACACTTTGACCTTTGCCTGTGCAAAACAAGATAGAAATTTGCAAAAATCTTTTCACGGATGTTATGCTCCCCAGTTTAATCAAAGTAACCTTCAAGTCCTTGAAACCCGTCCATAGTTATCTAATTAAAACAGAAATGTTGTTACTTTGTTACAAAAATGGCAGTTAGAACTTTGTAATTCGGAGGTAGCGCCATGCCTCCGATATATTTTTATTATACTGTGGTTGATTACGTATCTTTCTATTAGGCCAGTCATTATCTCTGTTACAATATTATGATTACAATTGTTTCTTGAATCACCAGTCTTGTTTCTTAGAAGGATCACACTTTTCCATGTGAGGGGGAAAGCAAGGGTGCACAAGTTTAAAAGGTCCATATACATTCTGTGATATAAGAACAAAGTTAAACTTACTACACATATACATCTGTACTTTGACAGCATTGTATGCTGACACAATTTTAAAAAACAACACAATATTGGTCACTAAAAGGCAGAATAGGTGGAGTTGTTTTTTCCCACTGCTATAAGCCAAGTGTACATAATATGTACCGCAGTAAAAGACACCCCCCCCCTCCCCAACTTTGTTATAATCTCTTTTTAAACGGTATATTACTACACCACCTCCCATAGACACAATCTAGATCATAATTTGCTCCCTTGCACCCCTCAGGAGAAAGTCCTCGACACCTATACCTCCCTAGTCTGTTCCTCTCTATCTGTGATCATGGAAATCTAACCAAGGAGCTGTGATATTAAACTATTTTTTCTCAGAATGCAGTCTTTTCGTTTGTTGTTTTTCTTTGTAGCACATATTATCTCAACCAGTTATTACGTTTTTCAGCAAAGCGCGCTTTCGTGCCTAAACACGTCTGCTGAGACATTTCAGCGACCCACGGTCAACACTTTTTAAGAACCCCCGGGCGAGTATTGAGTTCCTGCTTGATGTTGGCATCGCTGACCACTTATGACGCCACAGTGCCACGAGGGAGGGAGACGGCACTTGCAACACAATAAAGTCATATAGATGCCGAAGAATGGATGTGCTACAAGAGAGTAACAAACACAAAAAGGAGGATAGATAAGGATGATAGATGTTTGATAGGAAAGAAGAAACAAACCACACCAGAGCACTCGCCAACCACCCACGGTATGACAATTAGACAGATGGTCAGTGCTACAGAGATGATTGGGAAATGACGTACGGCGACAGCATAGATGCCAACTTTTCAAAACAATTTCTTAAAAAAAGGACCCTATGTACGAAACTAGTGGGGGAGAGGAGGGGGGGGGGAACTTTCGAGTAAGAGGAGAGAGAGAGGGAGATAGAGAGAGAGAGGGAAAGAGGGGAGGAGAGAGAGAGGGAGGGAGGGATTGGGGGTTGGGAGGTGGGGTATTGTGAGAGAGGAGGGGGGAGGAGTAGATTGATTAAAAGTGAAGGAATAGTAAGATGGCGGGCATTGGACAAGTAACCCTCTTCCAAACCCTTATACAAATTACACTACGTAGACCTCTTGTGTAATAACCCACGGTATGACAAGGCAGACGGTTAGTGGCATTAAGATGGTTGGGAAATGACGTACCGACAGTATAGCTGCCAACTTTTCAAAGCAATTTTTTAAAATAAAAAGGACCCTATGTATGCAGCTAGTGAGGGAAGGAGTGGTGGGGGGAGCGGGTTAAGGGTATGGGGGGTGGGTTGGGGTAGGGGGGTAGATTGATTGAAAATGGGGGAATATTAACTTAAGATGGTGGATATTGGACTAGTAACCCTCCTCCAAACCCTTCACATTTTGCCGAGAAGATCAAGTTGACAACTTTATCGAAAAAAAACAAATGTCGGGTGTTTTACATGTATACAAATTACGCTACGTAGACCTCTTGTGTGATAAACCACGGTATATGACAAGGCAGACGGTCAGTGGCATAGAGATGATTGGGAAATGACGCACGGACAGCATAGCTGCCAACTTTTCAAAACAAAACAAAAAAGCAAATTCTATGTACGCAGCGAGAGATGGGAAAAAGGGTTGGGGGAAGGGGAGAGAAAGTGATTGGTGGAAAGGAGGGGGTTAGGGAGGTGGGTGTTATGAGGATGGAGGAGAGGAGTAGATTGATTGAAAGTGAGGGAATGATAACTTAAGATGGTGGGTATTGGACAAGTAACCCTCCTCCAAATCCTTCACACTTTACCGAGAAGACTTAAGTCGATAACCAATCGTAAAACCAAATGTTGGGTGTAGAGTGTTTCACAAATATCAACATATTATAGAGCTCTTGTGTGATAACCCATGGTATATGACAAGGCATACGGTCAGTGACACTGGTGGCTGCGAAAAGACGCGCAGTGTCGACAGCATAGATGACAAATTTTCAACAAAAACAACCCAAAAAAAATGCTTTGTATGCAGAGCGAGAGAAGGGTGGGGAACTTTATGCGTAGGGGGAAAGGGGGGGGGG